GGAGCTGCATCTTGTTCAGCTACAGCCTGAGTTGGGAATGGAGAAACCTGGTGATGAAGACCATACATTATAACCAAAGAGTAACCATGTTTACATCTTAGAGCCTGACTTTGAGAAAGTATGTCACAATCAAGGCAGAAGCACTGCCTGCATGCCAATGTAGGTTGGTGAGGATGAATTGAATTTAGGGCAAATTTTACCCATGTACTCAAGGGGAATGGATCTCTATTTATAATATGCTATATCACAGAAACCTAATTCCTGGATAATGACATTCAAAACCATGTTGTTAAGGTAATTCCAGAGTAATTGTGACAACCCCTTTTTTTTTCCCCTTAAAATTACATTATTTTTAAACAGAGCAGACAGCATATCTTTCCCCAACACCCTTTCTCCATCCAACTGTAGCTTCTTTCTCTCGGGTTGACCTGATTCTATGCAAGTATTGATGCTGGTTGTGAGGCAGCAATAAAAACCCATAATGAACTTGAAACATTATTTTGTCTTTCATTTGTGACATCAAGTAGGAAAGTAGGATCTCAATAAAATTTCATTTGCTAAAATTACTAACCAGTAATCAATTCAATTATTTATCAACCTTATTGAACTTACTTTTATACATGTTTGATACAAGTACAATATTTGATGGAGATTACTTGTTTTTAGTACATCACACCAACTTGATTCTGACCCCATGTGCTAGAAAGGGAGAACTTCCTTCATGGATGTGATGAGCTGAGGATGAGCATTCCCCCTGAAGAATTTGTATACAGACATTGGTGGAAGGGAAGGCAATAAGAAACCAAACAGTGAATATAGATTCTCTTTCCTAAACTCAGCCTGGAAAGAACTGCTTTATTCAGGATGACCTCTCTCCAGACTCCTCTGACAGACTTGTAAGAGAAAGTTCTCAGTCTAGCATGCATAAAAGTGCATTGCAAAGAAAGAGATGATTATCGCCTTCAATATGGCTCTTTGGATGGAGTGAGACAGTAAGCAATGGCCATTCACCTATGAAAAAACAATAACCTATGAAGTGTTTAAATTTCTTATACATAGGTTTCTGCATCAATTTCCCAACTGACTTAGCTGTTTGGCTCTCTCATATTTCCCATCGAAGAGGCTGAAAAGGGTTGCTACTCAATGAGAAGGGAACATGACTGTAGTTGCTGTGATTTCAACCAGGCATGGACTTGTAAATTCAATGATGCTGCATGAAGACTTTTACTTCAGAAATCCTGGGGAACTTCCTAGATGAAATGAGTGCTGTAATTGGACCAGAAAAATAGTTTGGCTCACAGGAGAATGCTCCCCTGATACCCATCTCAATGAATTAAATATCTCTCTATTCAAACCAGAGGTCAAGAGATGGCTCAGGTTTTCTATTAGCTCCCACTGTTGATAGCCACTGTGCTTGAGGTGTGTCTGCACAATATTGCTGGAATATTCACAAACTATTTGTGCATGATGCGATAGAGAGAATTTGCAATACTGATATATGTTGCAGAGCATACACACGTTTACACGAACAGGTAATTGAATGGCAAAGTCATAATGAAATTAAAAAGTTCTTTTCACATGGAGGAATGAAAAGGGACATAGCCTTCACTGTCTGGTTTCTTTGCGTTTCTCCTTCCTCCCCTCCCCTGTCCGGACAAGAATTCCTCGAGGGCAGAATGCTCACCCATCCATGCACATCTGTGAGGAAGGTTCTTCCTTTCTAGCACATGGGCTCACAATCAAGTTGGTTTGGCATAATACTTGGAACAAAGTCAATAAGTAACTATCTCTTCCTTGGGGAATTCCTGGCTTCTGGTGTCCAGTAGATAAGAAGTTGAAGGCCTATGGAAGGACTACAGACTTTCTGTATAAAAAAAAATCACAGGCTTTCTGGAAAAAGATCACAAGCTTTCCAGAAAAGGATCACAATTTTTCCAGGAAAGGATCACAATTTTTCCAGGAAAGGATCACAGGCTGCAACCAAAAGCAAACAAAAGCGCAGAAAATTATACTTCTAAATCGTCTCAGTTATACACGATCGCCCGACAACGGAACGTCACGATGTCATACTCATCGTATCACAGCTTGAGCCAAATTAACGCGCTTCGGCTTAGGCCTAATTCTAAAACCTGGGATTAACTTCAGAACCGGCGAAGGCACGAGCGAGCACGAAGGCGCTGCGACGAATGTCCGGTCCGGGCTCATGGCGAACCAAGTGAACCTAAAGAAAAGAACATTCCAGTCGGCGCAGTCGCGATCTGGCCGGGTCCGGGCAGGCCGATCTCGAGCCCTTGCCTAGCTCTCAATGCCATGAGGCCTTTCCGCACCAAATCTTGGCATAATTTCTGTGAGAAAAGGCCCTTCTTTCTATCCTACACCAAATGAATGCCTTCCACTAACATCCCTTCTCAATATTCACAACATCGGATGGCCAACCTAACCTTTCGATCGAAAGAAGTCTTCTGTGGCTATGCCCAAGACACGCGTATGCCTGGAATAACATCATTATTATATCATAGCTAACCCCCCCCCCCCTTCCTCATATAGGCGCCATCTAACGTTAATGTCACCGTTCAATTAAAAATAAAATAATAACTTTAAGGCATGCCTAGAAAGATTTAGACCGTATCAATCCCTAAGTGACGCTAAGAGATCTGCGAATTTACTATTTTCTTTATAGTTCCATGTTCTTCCATATTCAAAACGTCCCGAATCGTAACGCGAGTGGCTCGCGTTACGAATCGGGACGTTTTGCTTCAACTGCGTTAAGACCAGACCGCGAGCTAAAAGGATGCGGCACTCTGATAAAGATAATAAAAATGAAGACGATAGAAAGAAGCTCACGTCTGGAAAAGTTCGCGAATCGCAACGGGTTCATCAGACACGTATAATTTATACACCAAATACACACACAGGTGAAACACTGGGCGCATTCAGTTGTGACCCGAGGGTCTCAGTTCAATGGTTGCATTGAGGCTTCAAAATAAATTTGACTCCGTGGTGACACCTCTTGTCAATGTCATCAATTCTGGGTATAATAGTTTTTGAAAAGCACCGTACTTGCCGAGAATCATGAATCTCGAGTCATGACCAGGGTCACAACTGAATGCGCCCACTAACTCCTCGGCTGGAGACGATGCGGATGCAGCGTGGAGGGAGCCGCAGCGGAAAGGCAAGAAGTAGAGGCCTGTACCTTTCCCCTTTTCCGAGTTTGGTCGCACCAGATCGGAGGCCCGAACGCTAGCTGAACTTCACCGCCCGACTCGAGAAAGAGAAAACTATTTCAGCCCATTTCGCAATTCTGAATGGGAAGTTGAGCACAGAGCAAGGCTCGCAGTAACTGCATGAGCGCCTTTAAGCTGGGTGCAGACGGTGGCTACCCCGCTCGGTGAATAAGATGAGGCTTCATGCCGACATGGACAAAGCAAAAAGGGAGTATCGTTGCTTTCAGTGACTATATAATCCCATACCCCCCCAAAAATGTATATTTAAGAGGGGTAGACCTATCTTATGATTATCAGAACGCTTAGGCTCGACCGGAACGACATAATTCGCGGATACGCCTCCTAACGTCCCTAACCAATGTCGAATCTTGACGGTAACAATTTAGTCGGACACCGACTGTGATCCCACCAAGAGGCAGAATGGCACGACACGATTTCCCAGCGCTACCGAAGTGGTATCTCATGAATCTCGGTCCGCGGTCGCGGGTCGGGCAAGCCCGTTTAGGAATCTATGTCGGCCGGACGGCTTCCCCATCGTGAATCGTGGCAGATCTCTGTGATTCCTAGAATTTTCTCTTCTTCCCCCTTCATGTTTTCTGTTTATGACGTGATGACGTGAAAGGGGAAATGCGTTCGCCCGCACAAATCCCGAGTCCCGACACTCGTTGTTGACCCCGAATGCAAGAATCTGACGAGAAGGAAAGGAATCCATGTGCTCTCTCGACGCTGCGCCGTTGGGGAAAAACCCGCTTTTCTATCTTTCGATAGATTCGCCGGACGGGTTAATAGGGTCCACGAGACTAATTCCATTTGGGATCCACTTCGTTTGGGTTCATCTCGTTCCAAAAATGACTGAAGCAGATTAAGTTTCTAAATGGATTCTTTCTTTGCCGAGGAAAGACTTACCTTTACCTGTGGCAAAGGTGGTTAAAAAAAAAATTCAAACCTGGCAATTACGTCGATTGAGTTCGAATAAAAATAGAGGAGTGAGAATGAAAATGAGATTTATGGACGCGTGAACCACTCGACCCAGTCTGGGGTGTGTAAAGGAAGAGGATGTAGCTGTGAAAGGGTTGAAAGTGAGCACCAATTTCAGCCTTTAGCATATGAGTTGCTGGAATACATTTGTACTCCAGCGACCCATTGATTTTCTTCCAACTTTCAAATTGAATCCCCTACATTTAGTAATTCCCGTACCTACAATTTACATCTCTGACAGCTTTAAGATGAACAAGGGATGAGAGATACTCAGAGTCCCATTTCATATTGCTTCCAGGGATTCCCAGTTCGTTGTTTCATCTTTTGTACACAGATGAATGGAAAATGAATTCATTTGGGGCATCATGAGCTTCTCAAAACATACAGTACTTCCACAATCAAATAATACAATTTCCTATCATCACCATCTCATACTCAGTGGCGCACTATACTGGAGTAAATACGGTATATGATAGTTACTTCATGCCGGTCCACTGGCTTAAGAAACATGCATGAATTTTCAGTGAAAGAATGGCGAATTGGCATGGTCATATTTTCAAACAGAGAAAATGAATAGGATGTTTTCCAAGCCACTGGATGCACAAAGAGTTAAAAACATATGCACCCAAAAAGGATTAACATCTCTTTGAACACCAGAGCCCTGCTGAGTCACAACGAGATATGTTCTATTTCGACTTAAACACCATCTGATGTCCTCTACAAAATCCTTCATTCAGATCTGAGATCCAAAAAAAAAAACTGGAGCAAGCACTCACCAAAAAAATGGTTTCTACACACCAGCAGGATAAGAAAAAGAGAAATTTGTGCATAAAAAGAAAATGCATGAGGGAAGGGAGGGAATCTTTGGCATTGGAAGACAAAACAACAAATGGACGGATCAGAAAGTAGAGTATATCACAGAGAGATGAGGGCTTAGTTCTCTCTCAATCTTCCACGTTTTTCCTCCTCCCCTGCATTGCCATCAAGCTACAGGCTGTGAATTCACTGAGTTCTCAGTGGCTGCACCTCTGTTTCTGGAGGAAACATAAAAGGTACACTTTTTTACTTTTCTTTCTCCAACTAGGGTTGACATTGATACAAGTAAAAAATTTATGCTCATATTTAGCCTAGCTCACTCCAAGCACCTGATATCTTACACTCATGAGAAGCATTCAATGGTAAATGTGAAAAGTAATACTCTATGTAAACCATGATGGTATCCAGAAACACATATTTTTGTGAAAATGTTAAGAAGTGCCAAGCATTTGACAGATAGTGATTCGTCACTTTAATAAAAGGTGAAACCAACATTTCAGGTGCAAAACCTTCTTCTTCAGGGAGTAAGCAATCTAGTCATGAAATAAAATATCAAGTCATAGGTAAAGAATCAAGGAAGAAAAAAATGTGCAACCAAATTCATAAAAATACAAAATTAAATGAGCAAAGATATTTGAGATATGAAATATTAATAAGCAATTAAATCAAATGGTAAAGAGATGAAGAAAAAAGGAGAAAACACATGAACAGAAGTTATCTCATTAAGTTGCTACTCATGAGACAACCAATATTTCTTTTATTTCTTAACTAATTCATTGGGATGTTTTACTCCTCCCATATTCTTCATAATGATTCAATGTTTTCTTACTCGAGTATGTCCTTTATTCATGAGAGGTTTTGCACCTCTGTGGTACTGGGGTTTCACCCCTTCAATAAAGTGGCAGGTTGTGAGTGTTCCCAGTTTTTCTGTCGTTTTACATGCCTTCATTCCACAAATCCATACGGATCTCAATTGGCAGGATTACAACAGATTTATGGGCCCTTTCCATCTATATTGCTTTTACCCTGTCTGTAAATGTTTGGTTTCAAGGAACTGGAACCATTCACAGGATTTCCTTATTTTATAAATTCCTTCTGAGAAGGTAGTTCCTGCAACCACTGGTCCAACCTCACCAGTATATAAACCTCACTCATTTTGAAGTCATTGCCGAATGGGTGGATGAAAGAGGCATTGTGTGCTTTCAGCATTTTGGCAGAGAACTTGGTTGCCCAATATGAGTTCAAAATATTTTTCCCTCAAGAATTTATTTCATGCCAGTACCAACACAGATCAGCTGAAATAAACCAATCAGGTTTAAGTCTATTCATTCACAACAGAGCAGTGACAGACTCACCTTGGTCGTTTGGGAATAGCACCTCGAGAGGCATCAGGACGAGAATCACTCCTCCTAGTGGCAGCATTTGGATTCTCTATGACAAGACTTGCATCCATGGGTCTTGATTTCGAACCATCCTCCTTCATCTTCAGCTTCACATCTCCCACACTCAGTGTCACCTTCGGCTCCTCCTAAAAAAATATTTCATTACAGTCAGCTAGTTCTGTCTTCCCAATGGAAATTCCTTCAAAAGATAGATATATCTAACTCAACTTTCAAGGCACAAAATTGGAAAACACTACAAGAGGAAGACCACGGCAACAGTTAGTTGAGCAAAGTTCAGGGAGGATAACAAGATCAGTTGATTAATGGAAAGTCAAGACAAACACAAACTTACTGTCCTCTCAGGCTACCACTAATAGGTTAAGAATTTAACTTTATTTCCAAAAGCAAAGGGGTCATTTTAAATAGATTTAGGAGTTGTGGCAACCACTCAGTGAAAACTGAGGTTCTAGTATACTTCTAACAGGCAAAAAGTTTTGTGCTCAAAGACCAAAGCAATCCCAGGTATTGGGGCCAGTATGAGGTGTCTTCTTTCTCACTTTACACATCCAGCAGAACAAAGAAATTTTGAAATAACTTGAAATACCTGATAAGGCACAGCTCCATTGATGGAGGGGGCAGTGGTGGAGAACGATGCAGCCAGTGAGGCCATGTCGCTGGCCTTCCTACGTCTTTGGCAATAAATGTAGATCAGAAGGCCTGTGACCAGTGCCACCATGAACAGGGATAAGGAGATCACTGTAAGTGGATAGCAAAGTAGAATAATCATTGAACTGGAAAAGTACTCATGAAAGACATTAGAATATATCCAAATGTAGGCATAATTTCCTGAATAATATGTTATGCTCTTGGGCAAAAATATGAATGCTACATAATACACTTTCATTTGTGACAAGCACTATACATTTGAATGGATGCTAGAACAAGAAAGAAAATGAAATAGATAAGTCAGAAAGTAGATACCTTAAACATCTGGATGTCTTTTTTATTTTCCAGTAAGAGTCTACAAAGTCCTCAAAAACTGTTTGAATTGGGCAGGACAACCAAGGACAAACTAATGTGCAAGGTTTTTTTAAAGACATGACTGTTTCTTGCTTCCATGCATGATAGAGACACAATCATGGGCTACCTGCAATGACTTGAGCAGCAGACTGGGGGGACTTGAGGAGATTCTTGTGGCACTCTGGGTCTCGAACAAGAGAGACACTCGAGTTGAGAAATGGCGGGTAAGGGGGGTTCTTCCGTGCTCCTCTCCCCCCTTCCAAGTACCCCTGTACAACAGATGCAACAGAAATCCTCATTAATGATCCCTCTCACACCTTTCAAAATTCATTATCCATTCGTAACTAGAATTACAAGCCAACTTATGATCATGAAGCCATAGATGAATCCCATAGTGATTGAGGAGCTGGTAATATCTCACTAGTACCATGCCTAAGTTAACATGTATGTCTTGTGATAAAATAAAAGTCATGCAATTTCATATTTTTTTGGACTCTTTTTCAAGCTTTCACTTCTTGCATGAAATATCTGGAATTGCGATTAAGATTTCAAGACAGCCTGAAGTAGGTGTCCATATCAAAGGCTCACATAAACAAAGATGGTCTGGCTGCTGGAGCTATTGTGCAAAGACAAGGAAGAGTCATTGGTGCTGAAGGCGATGCGGAGAGTGAGACTCGACTCGGAGGAATTCAACCCCTGAATAGGGACTGTCTCATCAATGTTGCTCACTGCAAAGCTGTGCTCCCACCTAACTGGGGGGTCTGATACCTGTAAAAAAAAGTTGCAAGCATCACATTAAATTGCAAATTATATGTTTTGCTTGCTCTCATTGTCAGGAAAATGACCCAAGAATTGCAATAGGCTGAAGATCAAATATGAAGCCAAATAAAGAGCACATACTTTGACTTACTTATATAATGAGAACTCCTCTTCATATAATCATTAATGAAACTCAAGTTCTATAATGCTATGAGGCTACTATCATTTCCCATACCTCCTGTTTCCAAGCCATGCAAATTTCATACACCCCTTGGAGGCAGTGCACCCAAGTATTCCTTACTGTCAGGACTAGTCCCATCAGAGCTTCACATTGTTCTCCAACTAATATTATCTCACCTTAACCACAAAGGTAAAGTCGAGAGGATCATTGCACAGATTCACGATGCCTGTGACGTGGACATCCATTCCCAGGTAGTCAAGAGAGCAATGGACCACCTGGCCCACAAACTGACACGAGCTAACTGTAACGAGAAATTCAACACACCGATCAAGTCTCTTTCCATCAATGTTAGGCCTAGGCCTACATATAGCCGAGGTAAACGATCTGGCCGCCTGGCTCTATAGTATGCAATTTAAAAAGGACACTCGATACAAGTCGTAACGAGAATGCGTCTCACCTGGGGAAACTTCAACGCACAAAAAAGCGGCGACTCCAAGAACGCCAAAAGCTGGCCGAATACCGCCAGATGGACCAAGCATTCTGGCGGGGCTTATCGACGAATTTTGTCTTCGACTTGCTCTTTATTCTTCTCTGGGCCACCCATAAGAACGAACGGGCAACGACAAGCGGCTGGAACCGAACGCGCTCAGGCCCGAGCACATCCACCTCCCAGGCAGGCAGCCATCGCTGTGGGGGCTTTGGTCAGGGATGTCGGATGTCCAACTACGCCACGAGGAATCGAACAAAGCCCATGTTTCGCAGTCTTAATCCGTACGTTGACTCCGGCGTTGCTTTCTCAATTCACTCAGAAAAAGCTGAATGTTTTCGCCTCGAGCACGTCAGTCGCTTCTGCTGCCGTGTGCTTCCGATGCCCGATTCATAGCAAGAAAAACGACCTCGCATGGCAGTCAAGGTTCTCCATGGAAAGCATAGAGCTTTAATTTCGTATCGATCAAGTTTTGTCGATTTAATCGTATATTCGATCAAATTTGTTCTTAATAAAGAGTAGGAAGAATGGGTAGAAATAGACGCATGTAATTCACGAGAAGTGTTCCGGAGTTCCTAAACCTCTCACTTTTCCCATAAACTTTACGCTTATGATGCAAAATAATAAAAGCGCGTAAAATCCAACCCCCCCCCCCCCACGTTAAAATCCCAGACTCTCTCCGTCTGCCTTCCGACCCACACTAGAGAAACACTACCGCACCAATTAAGTGAAGACAGCACGCGAGCCCACCCATCTTCACGACAAATTCAACTAGATTCCTGATTTCTCGGCAGTTCCCAGATCGAGCGCACATCGACAACGTCACCACTCCGCACCTCATTCACTGCTGAAACAGCTTTCGCACCTCATGCTAGAACGGTTGCCAAGTGGAGCAAGAGGCAGTGCAAAAACTGGCCTAATTCCCGCAGCAACAAAATACTTCCTTCGTGGTGTAGAATTTTCAATGGAATGGTGCGACATCTGCTGGCAGGATCTGTAACTGTTGGTTCCTTCGCTGAAACCCAGATGTAGAGATTGATGGTAAGGAGCCTTTCTCGTCAGTCTCCTTCGATGCCTTCCTGAAGTGGTCTTGGAAGATGCGGGTGGGATGGAAGGCCCTGAGACGTGTTTCGTGGATTCGACTCGGCGTCCGAGTGGGAATGCTCCGTCGAGGTCCTTCTCACTTTGGTTACGTTTATTTTCAATACTGAGTTGATGTTAGAATGCATTGGGCCAACATCCCGCACAAGCAGGAAAAATATGGACTCGTCAATATTGCGCATGTTACTTGTAAAGTGGTTCCAATGCACTCTGCATCCAGAGAAGACAAAAATAGCCTTGTTTCGACTGAGACGTTATCCTGGGATCGTCCTGGGATAGTCAGCTTCTGAGATTAGTCGAAACACCTACTTTCACCCCCCTCCCGCTGTGAGAAACGTCGCCGGGCAAACTGATCAATCCCAGGGTCGCTCTGGGACTGTCCCAGGTTCAGATCTCAGTCGAAACGCATTAGTGGGATAAGCATCATTTGACAGGCGTGCTGAACTCTTCCTTCTGCTCGAGTCCTTCTTTTTCCTTTTCACCATGAGTGTTCGTACTGTTTGGAGTGAGGAAGATGTGCAAACTCTGCTGCTTCTATTTCGCGATCTTAATATTCAAAACATGCTTGATGGCACGCAACGGAATAGGAAGGCGTACTTACTCCTTCCCAAAGAAGCCAAGCCAGATCCTCACTGAGCAGATCGCCAAAATTATCACTTGCAAAAACTTTCTACCAGATTCATCTTCCACCGCCTCGCTGGTCTTCTCAACTGAGAGTGCAGTAAGATGTAGCCTACAGGAGATTGTCATTAAATACATCTCCATGAATGAATGGACTCCCAGGAAATGTCGTCGTAACAGCCAGATTCCCTACCGCAGATAACCTGTCTACTCTGGGAGTAGTGTCAAGACAGTTGAGACAGGTTATCCTGGGAAGCATGACATTTCGATAATTAACGACCTGAATCCCATGAAAGCCATTTCCCAGGAAAGGATGTAGTCGAAACAAAGCTAATATAATACTGTAATGACCCAGCAGACACGACGCTGTGAGTGGCCAGGCCGGATGGCTGCCCTGAATATGAAGGAAGAGCTTCTCTGTAAGCCGTCCCAGGGAGGCCGTAGTATGTGCATGAACCCCTAGGTGGCAGGCCTGACCTCTGACCCTTCACCCCGATCAGGAGATGCTCCTTATTAACCATTAGGACGTCTTTTGCTCCCACACCTCTCTTTCCATTTCATTCTGACACCCACTGACTAGAGACAGAGTCATGTTTACATTTTATCCCAGTTATTCAAGTTCCAAGTGCCCAGAAATGAAGGCCTGTGGCACAGGATCGCACGCCCCCGAGGAATCAGGTTTTCCCCGATGAAAATAGTTGTTAATCCCGAAACGTTTCCAGCTCATGCATACCTTACGCCTGTTGCTTACGAGTGATAGGCGTTACCTTACTCTTCTACTCCTCTCTTTTCTTCCTTTCTCTATAACACCACCATATTCCCCTTGCATCCCACGGATTCCACCCCGTAGTCCCTATTTCCCCCTCTCATTCCCCCTAATTCTCTCTCCCTATTCCCCCTCCCCTTCTCTTATTCTCCTTATTTCCTCCTTTAATCCATTTCCCCCCTTCCCTGTACGTTCGCACGATTCATTTCTGGCGCATACGATAATCTTCTTGATTTATCTTCGAATGCATTAGTGGGTGGCATGTACTGGAAATAAGTCCAGTTTCAAGAAGGGCAAGCAAGAGGAGGACTCCGAATTATTCTTCAACTAGTTTAAGGGAAAGATAAGAAGGAATCGGCAAGTTGTTTCTCGTCACTTTGCTCTTTACCCGGTGCCAAACCGATTCAATAAGATTGAAACGACATTGATACGGCGGCAATCCAATGATTTCATGCCCCAAATCTGTTGCCATTCGATCCACCGCGTATTTTTTCTTCCCTCCCCTGTTCACCTTCGTAGTTGACATAGTTGGTGGAGATTCAATTATTCTAGAGTGATACGAAGCGTTGTCCAGCACGAAGGCCATCGTTGCAAACCCACTGTTGCAAACCCTTTCGAGTCGATGTCGTCACGATCGTCGGCCGACGCATCACCTCGATTCTTGCATCCCACATACAGTGCACATGGGACGAATCCCTGTTCTCCTGCATGCAGGATAATTAGGCGCTTCCCCTTCCCAGCTGGTGCATTGAAGACGCACGAAGGGCTTCCATCAGATGCGCCTCTCTGAGTAAAATTCATTCTCAGTCCTTCTCATGAGGCTGAAATCAAAGCTGTATAGCTTTAATATCACCCTTTAATATCACCCTTCGCGTCCCTTCCCTCAGTTCGAGGCAACCTAAAGGAGTGAATCCCCTCGGAGTCGATGGGAACACCCAAGAGAGACGATTCCGTAAGACTTGGTGGTCTCTCTTACGAACCTCAACGAACGCGCTACCTTCTCGAATGTCGTCTGAATATCCAAGCACCTCGGATCCGGTCACGCTGTCGCTTCCCCCGGCTACAAATCGTGCAACTTATTGAAAAACGCGCGGAATCCATAACGTCCCGCGTTATGGATTCTGCACGGGGAAACGCGCGAAATCCATAACGTCCCGCGTTATGGATTCTGCGCGTTTCCCCGTCTTCCAAAATCCCCGTGTTGCAACCCCTACCAGAGAACCACCACCGCACCAATTAAGTGAAGACAGAACGCGAGCCCGTCCACCTTCAGGACGAATTCGACTAAATCCTGGATTTCTCGTCGCTTCCCAGATCGAGAGCACATCGACTCGGTTGTTTCCACGGTGCGACATCTACTAGCTGGACCTGTAACTGCTGGTTCTGGTGGCGAAACATGCACGTTTAGAGACGGTTCTCCGTTCTCCCGTGGAGAGGCATATCCCTCCACCTATTTGAGGTGTGTGACCAAAGGCTTATAATTAGTCGTCGTCTCGGAAGATGTGAGAGGAACGCATTTCCCTGGGATGTCTTTCACACTTTCGACTCCGCGTCGCTGTAGGAAGAATGGATCGGGGATCGGTTTCGCGTTTCATACCTAAGCAAATTTCCGTGTTGCCGTCGGAAGACCATCTTCATCACAAGCAGAGAAAACATCGGGTTGTCAATATTGCGCATATTGCTTGCAAAGTGATTCGAATCCTCTTCGTATTCAGAATTGGCGATAATTTAATGCTATTCTATGTGAATTCCATGTCTGGTGGAAATTTGCAGACTGCGGTGCCTCGCATTCCACCTCGTTTAACCTCGGAACTGCCTGTTCGGAGCGTGAACATTTGAGAAGACGAAGAAACCAAGAAACCCGATTCCTCTCTTCCTCGCGTTTTCATTTATACATCTCGACGATCGGAAATGCAAGCACGTCTCATTCCTCACATCCAAAAAATAAACAATAAATGAAAGAAATTGAAGGTCGTACGAATTGCCAAAAACGGCAGCCCAGAATGATTTCATCTGCGAAACGACGAAGGGAAATTCTTAAAGATTACTAGAAAAATCCAGGAAAGTTTGAAGGTGTAAGAAATGCTAAAGGAATCTCGAGGGAACTTCAACAAGTCCTTCGAGAATTTCGTCGATCGGTCTGGATTCGGCATCGGCCCTCGAAGCTGGATCGGAAACGACCGAATACGCGGACATGAAGCTTTACCCAACCTTTTCCATTATATTTTCTGGGCTTTTCGGTGCTCCGAATTCAAGTTTTCATCTACTCCAATGAAAAAGTTGATCCTTGAATCCCACAACGTGTTTTCTCTTATGCATCCTTTCAGCATCCTAAAAAGTTTACCTATTCATCTCAAACCGTTTTAACGCATGAGTGATATTACAAGAGCAACTGGGAATTTACTTTTGCACTTGCACCTGCCCCCCCAGACGGGAGGACCTGGCCGAGTCTCCAAGAGGCAATGGCAGGGCTGGGTAACGAAACAGAAACGAAATCTCGATGATGATATTAAAGATATTCGATTGCGCTTTTCTTCCTGAAATTTTCTTCCCCCTCCAACCAA